ACCTGGCAAACCGTGGTCTCTGCCCCTTTGGACGTTGAGAGATACCAAAATCCAGACCACATAGTTTTGGTTGCTTAAGTTGCTCAACTGTTCGTTCAAACATGTGCGATTTTAGCTAAAATTATTTAATTATAAACAAAATATAAGTAATAAGATGTGTATATGTCTAGGTGCTGAATTTTTTTTCCTGTGGCAGCTTTATATTAAGTACTCTATTGTCAGCTATCACTATCAGCAGCTGATAGTATAGGTACACCCGTATTTTACATTGATTTCTTGTCAACTTAATTTTATAGTGGAAATAGTGCATTAAAAATTTTGATTTTTATCAAATATCGCAAACAGAAAGTTCGACAAAAACAAATTGTCATCTGAAATAGATAGTAATACAGGAATTTCTCAAGGTAGTGTATTAGGCCCCCTTTTATTTATTCTGTACATTAACGATATCGATATTTTTGTAATTTGTGAATTTATTAACCTTTTTGCCGATGATACTCTAATCTGATGAAAATTTTGATGTAGCTGTTCAAAAAATGAACACTGTTTTAGATATGGCTAATAAATATTTAAAAATAAATAAACTGAAGTTGAATATGAAAAAAACAAAGGCAATGGTTTTCACTACCAAACATAAATATAGCTTACTTGATTCTGAAATCATAAATTTAAATATTGAAAAAATTGAAATTGCAACAGTTAAATATTTGGGATTCCAACTTGACAATATTCTGAATTTTGAAAGTCACTTCGAGTATGTTCATAAAAAAATATCAAAAAAACTTTACTTTTTGAGTAGAATATCTTAAAATTTGCCAATGGAGTCAAAAATAACAGTATATAACAATTATTTAACATCATTTTGATTATTGCTCATCAATCTTATATTTAATTAACCTTAACAAACTTAACATGCTATAAAAATTACAGAACCGTGGAATAAGAATAATTCTTAAAACAAATCGCCGTACCCCAATTGGGACAATGTTAAATACTCTAAATTGGTTCTCTGTTGAAAATATACTGTTTTGTTTCACCATGATTTTTTCAAAATAGTAAATGGCGTATCACCTGAATATTTTCAAGAATTCATTTCTTTTAACAAAAGTATTCATTCTTATAATACACTAGGTTTAGATGGCATATATGTACCTAGAAATATGTATAAAAGTACGATGAATTCGCTCTTTTTTAAAAACTTCCTTAAATTTAATCAGTTACCTACCTACCTATCTGTAAAAAAATACTAGTCTTAATAATTTCAAAATGTTACTTAAACAGTATATCGAAAATGTTATAGTGTACTTTCTTTATATTGTATGTATATTACGTTTTTTTCTATTAAAATAAAGATCTATCTATCTATCTAATAAATAACCATTTTATTTAAAAATACTTTTTTCAAATCTACATCTATAGGGCTTCTGGAATTACTATTTCTTTCTAATATTTATATATATATATATATATATATATATAATATATATATATATATATATATATATATATATATATTGAATAACAGGTACCTCGTTAGTGAAATAGGAATCACTGGCTTCAATAGTTGTATTCATAGCTCCCTTTAGTGTCCTATCCATTTCTCCTAGCTTATACAAACCAAAAGGATTAAACAACATCTTATGCATTTGCACATATTCCGGAGATGACGTATCATTTGCAAGGAGTTTCATCAGCCCTGGAATAATGGAATGAGCGAATCTAAATGCTGCAGTTGCGAAATTATTCGCGATGTCGGGATTTAGGCTGTCATTATATTTCTTAGAATACCCCCATTTGAGTGGAAGTAAGTCATATTTTCGCATTAGGTTGTGACCTAGAAATAAAGAAAATAGGTGATCAATGACTGCATTCTAACTGGGTCGATCTAAGTAATTCAATAATTTTTTGAAACATTCTTCCTTTTAAGCTGTAATTTAAAAAAGATGAAATTTTATAAGATGGATTAATGATTTTTGTTCTAATTTATAGAACTGGTATAAAATCGAGGAACGTATTCGCTTCGTTTGTTAGTATATTGTATTTGTAACTAACTAGTTCGCATCACGTTATTCTTTCATACATATTATTAAAATCAATCATTGATACTACTTAGTGTTTCCTAAATCCGCAGTTATAGTTAAATTTTTTCATTCCAACCAGCAGTGTTGCTAGTAGTTCGCTTTTAACATAGACACAACATTCACTATACTTTAGTAAAGTATCCCACAACACAGTTGTACAAAAAGGGTGTACATATGTGAAATGATGACTATAATTTCAGTGTATGAGGACTGTATTACATAGGGCTGGTTTAAATATATTAGGATGCGTAGTAAAAGGGTTATACAGATTATAGTCAATTATTAAGTTTATACAAAGGGTAATCTGTTTTTCTGAACACGTGTCTCGCGGTACTAACACTGAGATTACGAGATAGATCACATTTGCGTCTGTACACGATTTAAAACAGTATTTGTGGTATTTTTCGCGTAATAAAAGCGGGAGAGCGCGAGAGAGAGAGAGAATGTCTGTTGTTAACGGCAGTCAACAGTAGAGAGGACACCCCTGTTACAAACGACAATCGACAGGAAAGAGAGAGCATCTGTTCTTAGCTATAGACAGCAGGCAAAAGGCAGTCTTCTTGTTTGCTATTTTAAAACTGTCTGTATTTCTAAAGAAGGGGAGGTTGAAATGGAATGGGAAGGGTTATCAAGAGTTGAACTAAGGAAATGATTGTAAAATTGTGGTAGAATGATAGTAACACAGCAAAAAATTAAATGATTTTTCGCATGTGATAACATTGAACAACAGTGTTATCGAACAACACCGCCATTCGCTATCCCTTCTACATATGAACGTTACTTAATGTCTAGCTAAAATCAGAAATTGCTATTCAACCCTAGAATTACATTTAAGTTAGTGTTTAATCTGTTTTTAAGTCCAGCCTAGGATGGTGGTCGTTCAATTCTTCTCTCTACGACCTTTTACACCACTCACTATAGATAAAAGGATAAAAAAATTGATGAGACTTATATATACATATAAGTCGATATTGACTTCTAAAACATATGTTTGTAACTTGGAAGATTTTTACTAACCTAATAAAATTGGTAGAAATTCATTATAGGTTATATGTTGAATTTGAGCCGCTACTATTCTTCGTGTCTCTTGAAAAATGGTCTCATCGTCCCAGTGAGTGTTAATTTTTGACAAATTTTCGGCTATACGGTTGTGTTGGCGTACCCACAGCAAATGCATGGTGGTTAAATGTAAATTTTCATTTGCTCTAGCATCGCCTAAAATAAGAAATTATTTAAAGTAAACTTGGAAGTTATGTTGATTATACAAAATAACGATAAACTGTCTTCTTCCAGTGCCAACTTCAACAGTGGACGTGCATGGGAAGAGTTGGGTCTTGTGGTGCTTAAAATATACCAAAATTTCAAAGCATTCGATTAAATAGTTTAAAAGTTATTTTATTTATTTATCACAAAATTTTTTTTTGCAACAATACAAGTAAGAAAATAATGAAGTTACAGTAATTCTACAGGTGGCTTATGAAAGAAGAAGATAAGCAAAGCAGACTGAATAGCAAATAAAGTCGTTTACCATAGCTTTTAAAGACAAGAATGAAGAAAAAAACACTATATTATGCTGCTAACCTGTCGTAAAACACATATTTTCCTTCCATTCTCTCTTCTTCCCGATTGCATCCATCATTAAAATCTTCAGAAATCGGTAAGAGCTCTCGTCCATCTTCTGTAACCAGTACTTTCATCATACCTTTAGTGGAATCTCTCAGTTTCTTTGCGAAATCTTCATCAGCGCTATAAATAACTGATCCGTCGATGAACGAGGTGACTTGGTTTAATTGTTCTCTTGATCCTAGACAACAAGTCGGTGCTGGAGCTGATCTGACGAATTCTATACAGCTAACGTTATATTCTCTAAAAACAAGAACTCCAAATTAACTAAACTTGTCTAAATCTAAATATATATATATATATATATATATATATATATTATATACTTTATATATATATATATAATATATATATATATATATATATACTATATATTAATATATATATATCTATGCATCATAATTTTTATATAACGATGCACGTCATCGGCGTCATAGCCTGTTGACGTCATATGATACCACGAAATATTTAGGGTTTAGGTGTGTTCTTTTTAGAAGCACTTTAACCGAGTACAACTGGCATTACAGCCACTAGACATATTTTATTATATACGCGTTGAAATAATATTTAAAAATTTCTATTAATGTTAACTTAAAGAAATACTATAATAATAATGTTTTCATTTAAATTTATAAAACCATTATAAAGAGTTTTATCACGAACATTGTTCGAACACACTGTAACTGAATCGAACGAAGGTAAAATTTTGGCATAATTGGTAACACTTATTTGACAGTTGCGGTGTGATGACACTTTTTGTACTTTATTATTTTAAATTTTAAAGGTGAATACCTCTTGTTTTATTTTTACCTATTTAATAAAATCTGTTCTTTTAGAACAAAATTAGTGTGTTTTATTTCAAAAATGTCCGTAAGAATTTAAATAGTCGTTGTAAAGAGATGGTACTTTGCTAATAGAACTTTTGATTTAATAGATTGTTGCAACCAATTGTTTTCAAAGATTTAAAATTGAGTCAGGATTTTTTTATACTTTGCAACTATGTCAACTTCGATCTCTGACGTAGATAATGACGTAAGTCGTTATCTAAATTAGATGAAGTATATATATATATATATATATATATATATATATATATATATATATATATATATATATATATATATGATGGCTCGCTATATTCAAATTACCTTATAGTGTATCTATTATCATCCATACTATCTATTATGTGATATCTCATATGTCCTCAGACGTTATTTAATAAAAAAGATGCTATGTAATGCCCTTTTGATAGTTGCCTTGTTTATTTTTGTGTTTTTATTATATTCGTTATATCCTCCCCTTTCATTTGCTGTTTCGCATGTTGTCACTAAGGGCAATTCTAAAGGCATTTTTATGTATGCACTCGAATGGTGTTATCGTTGTTTGGGTTGCTGATAAGTGACCAATTGAACCGTAGTCAATCTCAAGTTAAGCACAATCTCTAAGCCTTTCACTACAAGTTGAAGTGAGGTGATTGATGTGTTCTTTCCAGATAAGTTGTTGGTCCAATTGGTTTGAATATATTTTTTTTATTATAGAGGAAATATCGTGTGTAGGTGCTAATGTTTTTTCAAAGGTTTATATATCTATAATAACTAATAGTAAATATTTCTTCTACATCTTACCTAAAAGGATCTTCTTCATCCAATCGCACTGGAAAACACTCGGGCGATGTGAATACATTATAATCGCAACAGGAGATCGTACTTCCATTTGCTTTCTGGCTCAAAGCTGTAGCAGTAATGTCGTGGTCTAAAAATTGACCCCACACAGCCAGCATTACGGAAAATTTTGGGTCATCTCTATAGTACGGTCTATGGACTATCAGACTGACTGTTCTAGATGAAGGTAGAGGTCGTCCGGACTTAGAAACTCTTGGTTTGCTAATGCCTGTAAATAATACAAAAGAAAAACGTATACTTATATCTCACAAATTTGCAACTGTTTGGATGATTGCTAAACACCCGACAGCCAATGGTCCACTGTACTGTATAGCACAAGAAATACGAAAGTAAATTGTTTTAGTAATGAAAATATGAAAGAAGAAATTTCTAAATTGCTCTAAATTGAATTAAAAAAATCCTTTTATAATCTTTTTTTACGTAACGTAAGTACCAAAAACCACCTCATAATATCTATATTAATAATAATATAACCTATAAAGTACCAAAGGAATAGAAACAAAATTATGTAGTTTTGGTTCAGATCCACACTGATTTTTGTACCGGTGACAGGACTGGCCTTGCAGCGCCTGCGATATCAATTAAATATGACTTCGAATAACACCATGATTACTAGTCACACTTTATCTCCTGTCTCATATTTCAGTGTTATTAACGCATTCAAAGATCCAACAAAAGAACAAGCTATAGTGCTTTCCAGTATTAAAGGAACTTAAGTTCAATAGTATACCATAGTCATCGGCTTAGTAGTTGGTCCACGTAATGGATCCTTCGCTTCCAGAATTGCCAACAATGGAATATGTCTATATCTTTCTTCTTAAAATACAGTTGATTTACTGCTTCATTCCCACCAATATGTTAATATAAAAGAAACTCAAGTAAAAATAAGAAGACTTATCTCTCCAGTTCAATGATAAGTAATATCTAATGCTTGCCCCACTGTTCCAAACACGTTAATTTAATAAGAACTACATAAGATGGGTCTGTCCCAAAAATGTCCTTCCTAAGAGTTGGTATGCCTCATTTTGAGAAGGCAAATATTTATCACACCTTTAGAAAATATGTCTATCCCTGATTCTTTCATCATTTCTTATGAAAATATAAATTACCGCTTATACCTTTTTATAGAAGGATTACATGTACAAAATGTAAGACTATTGGTCACTAGCAAGCTATATGCTCTGACTAAGCAAATCCCAAGAATGTCAAGAATGTTCTAACAAAGCTAATTTATCCACTTCTAATGCACACCCAGAAAGATCCTAAAACATATCAATTGCAGTAAATGCATCTAATAACCAAACAGCACAAATTATGAAAACTGACGACAATCTGATAGGATCTATAAATAATAGAAGTGAAATATCTTCCTTAAAAACCTCAACAACATCAGAAGTCCTACTTCAGTAGAAAGAACACCATCTCCAATTATTACAAACGTCCCCAATTAACTAAAAAGTTTAATCTTATCTTCTCCAGACATTAATGAAAATAGTCCACAGACCGATTCACGGATATTTACACCTTCTGTAGTAAGCAAACCAACGAAAAACTCAAAAACATCAACCAGAAATACTCACGAAGGACTTTTACCTTCTCTAGAGTCAATTAAAGACAAAATAGAAAACAGAATACCATCATTTATCCTTAACTATAATGAAATTTATGAGTTTCTGGAAAACACATTAGATGCCAAACATCCTAAAGTAAGTTCAAAATGTTCCTCAAATGAAACAGCTGAGCTAATTGAGATCCTTTATTTTATTCACGCAATTCAAAATTAAAAAATAATATCTCTAGGTTTAAAAAGAAACAGATCCCAATAATCTATCTTCCACAGAAGCGACAGGAACCTACCAGATTTAACTCCTATAATGGTTTTTTTTTGCGCCATAGATTTATCACTATGTAGTCAATCCTTATCAACGTTTCTCACTTGGAATACTTTAAAATCGTTAAATGACCGTGATTACTTTCCTATCTATATGTCATCAAATGAAATTCAATCTTCTAACTTTAAAATCTATCCAATCTCAAGAAAATGTCAAGAAATTGGATGAAAAGTGCTCAAGATAGAGAACAATGGACAAAAATTAGGGAGGCATATGTCCAGCAGTGGACGCAAAGGGCTGGGTGATGATGATGATGATGATGTTACGATGCTGCAGCAAAACCACTTCAAAAAAACTAAACAGCATTCAATCTACAGCTTTGAGATTAGCACTGGGTGCTTTTAAAACTAGTCCGGTTAGTAGTATGCAAGATTTAACTGGAGAACCTCCATTATATATAGAACGACAGCTACTATCCTTAAACTATATTGCAAAGATCTTTTTTTGGCTTAGACGTACCGTCATACAGTCAGAGACAAAAAGAATAAGACAGTATCCATCATTATAATTGTCCTAAATGCCCTATCAACATAAAAGAAAATAAAAAATTACATCGATATACTGCAAACATATCATCCCAAAAACAGCATCCTACTATTTTTGCACTAATGAGTGTATATTTCTCTAACTGAATGTAAAATACATGATCAGTTAAAATCGTATTTTTGCTTGTCTTCGGCAACTGATACTCGAAGGAAAGATAGAACGTAGGAGAGGTCTGGGACGAAAAAAAAATGTCATGGCTGCGCAATATTCGACAATGGACAGGAATCTACAGCTATGAAATGCTTCGCAATGCTGCTAAAAACAGAATTATTTAATCCTGACCACAGTCAAAGCTTTCATCTCTAATCCAAAATGGTAGCAAATTCATAAAAATATTTTAGCCTTGGATTTAAGTTAAGAAATAATGCTCTTCAATATTATTTTTTTCTTATACATGTAATATAACAGCTTTTACTAAATTTTAGTATATCGTGCTCGTGCTGTCTTGACCCAGCACATTTAATCATATAATCTAATGAAAATGCTCACCGTACATGAAATATTGTTGACCGAAAATGTTTATGATCGATAATTTTTGCATCCTAGATTGTTGATAATTTGCCCACTTCACGCAAAGGCGTACGTTTTAAAATGGTGTAAAAGTACAGGTTTCAGAAATGAGTCACTGAAATTTCACATGAAAGCGGTTGAATTGCATTAAACCAGCTATCCTTACAATATGAATCAAGAAAATTTCCTCAATTAATAAATGTGAATTAAGACGAATTTAAAATTGATCTTAAATTTAATTTGTTAATAAATATTTAGAAACTGGCAAAAATAGCAAAACTTTTACATTAACTAATTAGAATTTATTCTTGTACTTACCATCAGCATAATCTGGAGGTAGCATTCTTCTAAAGCGCCTAAAGGCAACCCCATATTCCTGTGGTTTCTTTAAATTATTACACGAACCATTAAACGAGCGATATTTGTGAAATTTGTTGCATTCTATTCTGGTATTTTCGCATAGTTTATTAGTTGATATCAGTGCATTCTCACATATAACTTCTACAGGTTGGTTATCCGTTTTATTTCTAAAAGCAGACGTTGTTTTAGTTACTTAACATGGCATAAATACAGAGACCTGGTTAACTCAGATGTGCTGAAAGATGTGGGTTTGATTCCTGCTACAAAAATGAAACAAGAAGTAGGAACCCTTCAACATGAGATCAAAGATGACCGGAGACCAAGCTTTAATGAATTTATGTCAAATTACGCAGAGAGGAAGAGTGCTAGATTCGGCGTGACCACAGAAGTTCAGCAGGATCTTTTTAGTGTTCCGCATAACGTCTCTCTAGTCCACTGTATTACGCAAGATCTTGAGATGATTAAAGGAATCTCATCCTTATTTCATAAGAAGTTCGGTCATTTGGACGAGTTAAAAAATCAGCAGCCTAAAGTTGGAAGAGTACTGAGATTAGAAGATAGTCCTCGATGTTTGCTGTATATGGTGACCAGGAAGTTGTATACAGACAGGGCAAGCTACGAGGATATATATGGAGTGCTCTAACTAATTTGAAGAAAATCGTGTGCAATTATGACATCCAGAATTTGGCCTTACCCAAGATAGGCCATGCACCCGAAGCATACTTGAAGTGATCTTCCGAGAAACCGGCGTACGAATTACTGTGTGTTGCATTAAGCCGAAGAGATCGTGTCATTCAAAGTCAGTAGACTGTTATTTCTTCTTGAGGGGTTTATACAGAGCTGAAGAGGTCTGTAGATTCCGCCATCCTGGACCTACATCTAGAGTTGCTGATCGGGACGCTCAGATCTAAGATCAGATCTAATTCTTAGAAGGATAAATCTTGAATACTCAAGAGATAACATTTCAATAGCGCCCGTCTTCGATGCGCTTTCGATGAGAGGAATAGAGGTGGACTATTCCAGAATTTTCTATTTACAAAAGTTCTCCTAAAAGACGTTTTGAATTTAATTGAGGGAGACCCACTAAGCCCGGTCGTAGCCAACCTTTTCATGGAGCATCTAGAGAAGAGGGTAATAGAGTCAGCATACATGCCAAGGGTATGGTTTAGATACGTCGATGACAGTTTTGTGAAAAACTTAACGATTTCTTGTCTTATATGAACACACTGTTCATATAAGTGTGTATGTCATCAATTTACGATGGAAACAGAGAAAGATCAACAACTAGCGTTCCTAGATGTATTAGTAAATCGAAAGGAAGGTCACACACGGATATACAGATTGAACCAAATTAAAACGGAACATACAATTTAATACCTGTCTGTTTGAACTGCATTTGAAATAGTGGACCAATATAAAACTTGGACAAAAATAAATCCATACCTGGGTATAGACATTGTATAAAATATCGTTCAACTATCTGTCTCGCAACAAAGTTATTTGCGTAAGACGAGTTTGTCTAAGGAAGCGATAATAGTTCAGAAAATAAAGCTCGAAAAAAGTTAAAACATCGCAATTTTTTCGTCCTGCATGTATCCAGTTGAAATTTTAACAGAAGGTAGGTGATGGCCCAAGGATCAAAATCTATATCGAACCGAAGTGCGCTGAAGGGTTTTAGGGGTGAAAACTACCCCTAATTGTCAAAAATTATAAAATAACATATTAAACCTGAATATGGGTAAGATTTGGTTTGAATTAGTTAAATAATGATTATTTTATACTTTTGAATAGAGTTCCATCATATTTCAACCCTTAAAAAGCAACCCTTGTTAGAGATTAATGTAAAAAATTTACTAATTCTAAAAAAATGATTTCGCCTTGGATCGATTTGGATAAAAATTTGGATTTAAGCTCAATTCACCCGCTGCTTTATAGTTTATGTCATGTCAACAAACCCTGATTGTTCTTAGGGGTGAAAACTACCCCTAATTGTCAAAAATTATAAAATAACATGTTAAACCTGAATGTGGGTAAAATTTGGTTTGAATTAATTAAATAATGATAGTTTCGTGCTTTTGAATAAAGTTCCATCATATTTCAACCCTTAAAAAGCGACCCTTATTAGAGATTAATATAAAAAAATTAGTAATGCGAAGAAAATGATTTCACCTTGGAACGATTTGCATAAAAATTTGGAATTAAGCTCAACTCACCCTCTGCTTTATAGTTTATGTCATGCCGATAAACCCTGATTGTTCTTAGGGGTGAAAACTACACCTAATTTTCAAAAACTGTAAAATAATATTACAAATCTTAAGATGAGTGAAATTTGGTTTGGATTAGTTAAATAGTGATTTTTTTATACCTTAAAATACAAATTCATACATTTTCAACCCTTAAAAATCAATTGTTATGAGTGCTATAGGTGAAAATAATTTTTTGCCAAAATTTTGCTTTTCAAGCTTTTCAACTTTTGAAAATCAAATGTTTTACAACATTGCAGTTTTTATAAACTAATTTATAAGATATAAATTGAAAAAAGTTGAATTAAATACAAAAAAATTTATCATCATAAAAAGGCACCATATATTCTTATACATTTACATAAATAGTTGAAAATATTTACATTTATAGGTAAAACAATTATAATATTAATTTTATTCGTCATCAATTACATCTTCATCGTGATCTATGCCATCCTCATCTTCTTTAATTATTGGTGGACTGTTATTGCACCCTCCACCTGAGCACCCAGAACAAGTATAGTTACAGTATAAACCAACTTTTCTGCACCCACATGAAACGCCGCATCCTTTTTTGCATTGGCAAAAAATAATTTTCAAAAGTTCATCGGATGCAGGTTGTTTGTTCGTGCGTACGGGTAATAACAAACCATTTTTGGAATACCATCCCCAATCTCTTGCTCTGATATTTTCATTGTCAAGCCATAGACATATGAGCAGATGTTTTATTCTGTTGTATGGGATTTCAAAATAAGAACGCTTAAAATTTCGAATGTATAACGCCCCACTAGCTAATATACCGGTTTTATAGATTATTATGCTCCGAAATGTACTGTACTATACTAATGGAATTTTCCGGAAAAAAATTAAGTGGTTTTTTTAACGTATTTCCTTGAATTTTTAACGATAAAGTGTTTCTTCAAAAACGATTTGTAGAGGTTTTAGGAGCTACAAGGATCTGTGAATTAAATCTTTTTGGAACCCTTGGTTTTTAAATGGGGTGAGTTTAAAGGGCTCGAAAAAGATGGTGCTTGATCGTAAATCGATGCTTTAAACGGCTATATCTCGCCAAATATTCATTGTACAACAAATCTAAATAAAGGATAATTTGAGTCATTTAAAAAGCTACAATTTGGTAATTTTTATTTTTTTCATATATTCAGTATTTTCGGTCATATTTAAAAAAGAAGGGTAAAAAATATGAAATTGTAAATCGTCTCTCGCTTTAAGCTGTACTTTTTCTATAACTAAGCATTTTAAATGGGTCAAACTTCTTGGACGTATTAACAATACATGTACAAAGGAAATTGCAGAAGGGTGAAGATCGATTTTAATTATGGGCGCGGTTAGGGGGTTGTTTTCATCGATTTTTTCGTAAAAAATGAGGTATTGACCTTATTTTCATCATAACTCACTCAATTTTTGAGCTAGAGTCTTTTTTTATGATAGGTCTATTTATGGTCTTTAAAAAAGGTTTTGTGAGTTTTTTTCCAAAAATGCATCATTTTCCCGATATTTGAGTTTGAATCTTTCAAATTTTGGCATTTGAAGAAAACCGCTGAACATTGATAGGCCGTATTTCGTTTACTATTATATCGCAAAAACATTTTAAAAAATGAATTGTATTTGTCTTTTTAAAAGCTACAAATTTGTTCTCTACAATTTTTTTGATAAAATGCATCATTTTCGAGTTATTCGCGAAAAATCGATTAAAAACGTGGATTTTCTCGTCTAAAAGTTGTTACTTTCAATCGCGAATAACTTGAAAAATATCATTTTATAAAAAAAATGTATAGCACATTTTTTGTTTAGAATTCACTTTTTTAATCGAAACCTGTAGTTAAAACTAAAAAAAATTTTCACCCCGGAGATGGGGTGGCAACCACCCCCTAGGCTTTGGCGCACTTTGGTTCGATATAGATTTTGATCCTTAGGCTATTACCTACCTTCTGTTAAATTTCAAGTTAATCCACGCAGCACTAAAAAATTACGAGGTGAAATACTTCATTTCCTGGACTATAACTGGTTTGACAGCATAATAAAATCGTAGATTTATGTGTAGCTTTCAATTTTTATGAGTTCAGAATCCAGCAGCTCGTTGAAGTATGGGATTTTTATAATATAATTATTTGACAATCTTTTGTTGGCCAAACCACGCATTGACCGAAATACATTAGATTCCTATGTTCCGAATTTATTTCGTTCAATCTGTATACCTAAACAGAAACTCAAATCATCATCCAGGCCAAAAACAAGGTATCATCAAAACTCTGGCATAGAGGGCAAAGAGAATTTGCGAACCACAGCATCTGCAAAGTGAACTTTGTTCACCCAGGAGTATAGACCACCAGTGAACGAGATCACATTAGGAGGAAACAGGATCCAAGCCACAGAGTCAGTCAAGTACCTAGGAGTTCACTTCGACAGAAGACTTAATTTCCGGATGCATACAGAAAAAACTAAGGTAAAAGCCAATTCAGCTAAAAAACTAATACTTCCTTATATTTTCAGGTCCAGCCCTCTAACGAAGGCCAAGAAGATCCAGTTATACCAGGCCTACGTTAGATCGGTGATGTTGTATGCAGTCCCAGTTTGGAGTTCCATAGCAGAGACCCACTGGAAGAAGTTAGAAGCCACAGAAACGGCATGCTACCGTATCATCGACGGAGCATCATGGGAAGACAGAACAACAAACGCAACCATCAGAGAAAGGCTCCAGTACACACCACTGAGGGAGGTGGCTGAGAACAGGACCAGATACTTCTTCCACCAGGCCACAAGAAGACTCCGTAAGACCAGGGACATCCTCGCGAAGAACAGGATCCAGAGGATGTATAGACACCCCCATAGACTGATCGACCATCTGATCAGGGTCTAGCCGGATGGTTGCCGGAAAACAGCCAGGCAGGGAAGTAGGTACGATGCCGTAAAAAGTACCTACAGAGAAAGACGAGGAAACCACCCAGAGAAGTCCAGGATGCCGAGAGGGAGTAACTATCAGAAGCAGACGGTGCAAGGGCGGGACGTTAAGAAGAAAAAGAAGGCTAAAATGAATGAATTGACCAACACCTAGTATTGGCGAAACGTTGAGAACTAATCTCAGAAGACAACAGCCTAACAGCAGAAACAAACAGTTTAGCAAGTCATACTTTTACCTGTGTATATATCTCGTAGCGTATTCCTCCACAAATCCAGTTCTAGACAAAAGTCTCCCTTTTTCATGCGTAGCAGTGACTCTTTGATGTCTGTAACTGGGACTCTGCATATTCAAAGAAGGAACCTCTTTTTCGATTTCGTCTTTTTGATTTAAACCTTTTTTTCCTTCTTCAATAGCCTCGTTCCAAAGCTCTACATTGTTCAATGTTTTCTTTTCTTTATTGGCATCTTCTAGTGGAACAATTGCAGAAAACAATGATATTACAGGAGTTTCTATCGTTTCTATTGAAGTATTACTTTCATTTACGCTGGAGGTAGAATTGTTTTTGTCTTCCTCGTTGATACTATATATAACTGTTATTACTATAGTAATGAGAAATATTGACCTTAAACAGATTATTTTCTAAAATACAAGGTTGTATAAAATATTAAATATAGGAGAAGGTACAAATATGGGCTACCATTTTGTTTATTGCTGATATCTTGACTATTTTTTTACCGAAAAAATTCAAATTACATAATTGGCATGTAGAATTGTTTTGCTCTTTTGTAATAGTCCGTTTTTCTGCCTAGTAAGATATTTTTTCTGTAATGTCATAAAAACACTCACGGTGTCATTTAAGTAAGAAACGGAAAGGAGATAGAAATATGGGCTACTAGTAAAAATATTTTAATTTCTATTTTATAATTTTTTATGTACAATATTCACATACATATTGGTCTCTTTCTGCACCAGAACAATCTACGATAATCACTCATTTCACTCACTTTCCCACGATAATCCTCAAAAAATTTTCCGTCACAGAAAATACAATTTACTTCCGTATTTTCCGAATCCGATACACCAGGAATCTCTTCCAATCAGCTGGTTGAAATTCCTGCTCACTATCGTTGTCAGAAGAACTTTCGATTTCCTTTTTATGCCGCCTCTCTGACTAGTTTTTAATTTTTTTTTTAGTCACCTCCCTTGTGGACTCCCGTACTGTGTCGTTTTACTGCTTGTACATTTAATTTTCTTTTTGCTGTTTTGCTGGTTTAATGCTTCCCTGTAAGGTGAAGAAGTTATTAGCGTTGATTTCGATTATTTTCTACCACGATTTGTACATTTTTTCCTGATCGACGGCACTGGCGATATTTCAAATGGACTTCCAAACTTCTGCAAACCAGAAGAACCTGGTTTACTGATGTTGCTTGCTTCTGGTATTTTTGTAGGATAGCAGGTTTAATAGTTTGCGAACTTACAAACTTCTGCAAACCAGAAGGACCTGGTTCACTAATGTTGCTGGCTTCTGGTGTTTTTGGTAGGATAGCAGGTTCAATAGCTTACGGTTCTACATGGCTGTGGATGTTACTCTCAACTTCTGCTGCAATAAAATCGTTGTAAACCTGATTACTGGAAAAATTGTATTTATCATATGCTTTTTCCAGATGATCAAAAAATATTTGAACATTCTCTTTGTTAAAGCTAGCTGCTTGTTACAAAAGAGGTTCCAGTTGGTCTCCTTAAAGCCAATGTATTTTTATGACGTGCCAAGAACATATCTAGCCAACCTCTACCAGCTTTTTTTAACTGCATAAAGGGATGATTTAATTCATTTGATTCAGCCAGATTAAATGCCAATCGTTTGATATTAGTCCGCGTTAAACCATAGAATTTCGATTTCATTTGAAGGATATATTCCAACAAATATTTTCTAAATCTGGGCCAAGAATAGTTCCTCTTCCCAGTTTCTTAAGTACTGGTTCATTTGGACTCAGTTCAGTCATTTTTGCTAACCGTTGTACTGTCGATCTCGGGACATTATAAGTTTTAGCTGCTTTCAATGTACCCATCGTTTTATCTCTCACAGCTTGAATAGCAGATAAGAAAAAAACCCTGTAGACTAAACTGATACAAATATGAGGTAGCTCATATTTGTCTTTCGCTTACGACTTGTGATAAAGTATTAAATTTATTCTTAGTTTTCACCGAAAAAAAAAAAAAAATTAAAATAAAAACATACCTGAAAAATTTCTTGAACAGCGTCAACACTAACATGTGATTTTTTCAAAAGTCACTGTAAGCTTTATTGGTTATTATTTTAGACTAAAGAGTGTCTAGTCAAGCTATTGACGTATAGATGGTGGTGTGTATTTCATATTAATTACGATAGCCCATATTAGTAGCATAGCCCATATTTGTACCTTCTCCTCTACATAAAACAGTTAGTAAAAATAAAACACCAATAAGTCAAATTTTATAAAATTTTGAGATATCTTTATTGTTCATATATTTAGTTCATTCGATTATCTTCCCGGATTTTCATAAAAAATTGATTACGCTAACTTCAAAATTGACCCTATACCGGGGGTTGTTTTACCTTGGAGAAAGATCATCGAGCAAAAAGACAAAAGAGGGAATCTAATCGTTATGAAACGGAGACCAAAATTCATAACAGTGGTCTCTTAATATGGCGGACATATCCGGAAATGCCAAGGCGCCAATTTTAAATTTTACAACACTTCACAATAATCATACAGTGGTATAGGGGTTCTAATTTATCTAATGGAATTAGTACAAACTTTGAAAATTTTAATATGTTTGTTTTAATTAAGAAATTATACGGTCATAAAACAGTAGCTATAAAATATTTTTCAGGATGTGTCTTAGACGAGAAAGTTTTAATTAAATAATAACGATAATAGTCTAAAATGTGACACAAGTGTTAAAAAACTTCAATATAAATAAGCTTTCATGTCACAGTTGGTACAATGGTTTTTCTAAAAACCATAACTACTTAACGCGGAGTCAAACCCGGAAAACAACTGAAATCATATATATATATATATATATATATATATATATATATATATATAATATATATATATATATATTATATATTATATATATATATATATATATATATATATAATATGTAAAAGTAAACCTATGGTGAAACAGCAGGGTTTAGTAATTTTTAGTTATTTAAAGTTTTAGGTTGTATGATAAGTTTTATTGACATTGACATATTGTAAATTGTATGGTACAATTGTCAAATTACTTAATGGCGTAAGAAATAGCATTGTTCTTGATTCTCTTTTTAGGTTTGTATATTGGTTAAGTTATGTTAGTTATGTTATTATTGTTAATAATTTATATTGTAGAATTTTAACGACAATAAACTCTTTTTAGACGAATTCAAACTGCTATCTCTTCACATGAATAAGGGTATGATATTACACTTATATATATATATATAATATATATATATATATATATATATATATATATATATATATAATAGAAATTCTATTAAAATAAAAATTATTAAAACTACCCTATTACATTGAAAAACATACATGTGTAGAGAATTAAACCGTGCATAAATATTATGACGTCTACATTTGCAACATGCAACATTATTGTCTTATTCACAATGTGACTTACAAAAACATGGCACATAAGCAACATTGGAACTGCTTAACACGCTTTTTGCGTTCTCTGCTTATACTAGAATTAAATGGGTATTCTGGTTGTAGAGTAACAGGTATTAAAAGCCTAGTACGCTCAGTTGGTTGATTCATTCTTCTTTCTGAAATAAGATTCATACATAACTATAAAATGTTTCTTCTTAATTTTCCTATATGTAGGAAATCCAATACGGAAATTCATTAAAGTGGCTCACAGCTTAAATGATGCAGTCGCTACTCAATAAAAACTAAATTATATCAGCGGCTCAATATTTATTAGAAAAAAATTATAAACTGACATTAATTAAACAAATTAAAAAACACTAAATGACCAACATCAGACAAACAGTTCTCCCCTCCTCAAGCTATTTCATTAAAAACTATAAAGTGTAAACGAATGCCAAAAGTAGATTACTTGAGAAAGGCAATCAGCCGAAACAGCTGTAGTGATAAGAGTTTATAATAAATTTTGTGGAAGTTTTGAAAACAAAGTTCTCAGTGTTTTATTGTTAACGAACAGATCAGGTCCCCCAAGAAAAGAAATCAGGTTAAGAGGTAACATAACCAAAGGAGAAGATGTCTTCAAGTACCTGAGAGTCCACAAAACAAGCAAGACATCAACAGAAAGATATCAGCGGACAAGAAAATCCAATTATATTAAACGCGGCCTAAATGTTATATGTAATCCCAGTAAGGAATTCCACAAAAAAGATCAAGTGAAAGAAGCTTCAAAGAACAGAGACAGGCTCATCGATGGATCCCAATATCAAGATAGGGTAACAAATACAACTATATAAGAAAAGCTCTACTGAGAGAGGTGGCCGTCGAAGTACCAAAGTACCAAAAATTCTACGAACGGGCTAGAATTAGAAGAAAATAACAACTTTTTCAAAAAATAACTGGTTCTTTAAGGGGGTAACTTTTCTATTATTTATTAATTTAGAATAATTTAGATTAATTAATTTGAATAATTAATAATATACGTAGATAGCCACTAAATATCTGGGTTGAACTATTGGGGTGATCTTTAATTGGTTCCTATTTTTCAAAAACGTTCAAACTAGGCCTTGTTTTTAGACTTTTTAATAAACTAGCTGCCCATTTTGTTTGAAAATATTCACGTAGAAATAAGGACAACAATGTGGCAGCAGTGAGATAAGCTCCTGGAAATTTTCATTGCGATATATGGCGCTTTTTAAATCAGAATCTCCAAAATCGATGAATTTTACGCAATCGTTTTTAAAATTGGAGTTTCCGATTATTCAGATTAACTTCACTTAATCTCTTCAAGTTTCTCACCAAGATTACAAAAGTCAGTTGTCGAATTTAAAGCTGTGAACGATAGGATAGTACTCATTAAACTGGATGACAAACCACATAAACTTAATATCATACAAGTTTACGCGCCAACCAGCACATCAGATGACATAAAGATCGAGGAGTTCTACGAAAAACTGGAGACCACAATCGCTAACATACCAAATAAACAACTTACTATAATATGTGGCGACTTTAATGCAAAAAGTTGGCAACACTACACAAAATGACGACTTAAAGAATGTACTGGGAAAGTTTGGCATAGGGCAGAGAAACGAAAAAGGAGACCGTTTAATCGAATTTGCTATCACAAATAACTACTCCATCATGAATACTCGATTTAAACACCATGTACGTCGACTTTATACCTGGAAAAGTCCTGGAGATAAATTTAGAAATCAAATAGATTACGTCCTCACCAATATTCGCTGGAGATCGTCCATTCAAACAGTCAGATCATATCCAGGGGCGATATGCGGATCCGATCATACTCTCCTCGTAGCTAAAGTAATGCTTAAACTTAAAGCACCCAACAAACAAAGAGAGATAAAGAGGATAGAACTAAGAAAGAAAGAAGACCTTCTACAGGAAGTACAGAAAAGTATGCCCTCTATTCGTAACGGAACATCACAAGAAATATGGGAGACTGTTAAACATTGCGTAACAACATCAGTGGATCGCTCAAAGAAAAATAATCCGGTGAAACGGAAACACTGGATAACAGATGAAACTCTTAAAATAATTGAGAATAGAAGAAATCTTTGTAAAAGTGGTGTACATAGTGAAAGGGAAAAAGCTAGTTTAAGAAACCTCAATAAAGAAATAAAACGAAGATGTAAGGCCGACAAAAAACAGTACTATCAAAGTATATGCAAAGAAATTGAGAGACATGGTCAGAATAATCAGCCGAGAGCTATTTAGAAAAATACGCTACCTGACAAGAGACTTCAGAGCCAGAACTTGGGCCATTGAAGATAACACTGGAACCCTGAGAACAAACAGAGAAGACATAGCAGAGACATGGAGATCGTATTGCAGGGACCTATATAAAGATGATCAACGCCAAGAGCTTGTTAGCCAAATCTCTGACGAGGTGGAAGAAGAACCTGATATACTCGAAAATGAAGTAAGACAGGCTATCAACAAGCTCAAATATAACAAAGCACCAGGTCCAGATATGATAACAGCAGAAATGCTTAAAGCCACAGAAGAAACCGGCGTAAAGTTACTTCATCTACTCTGTAACCAAATATGGCATTCCAAACAATGGCCTGAAGACTGGACAAAATCTACAATAACGACCATACATAAAAAAGGCAGCTTCCATAAATGCGACAATTATAGAACTATCTCTCTTATATCACATGCCAGCAAGATAATGCTACATATAATCAATGAGAGACTGAAAACATTCCTTCAAAGAGAAATTTCACAAGAGCAAACTGGATTTACCAAAGGTAGAGGCACTCGAGAACACCTGCTGAATATAAGACAGATAATCGACAAATCTAGGGAATTCAACATCCCACTATACATCTGTTTTATAGATTACCGTAAAGCGTTCGACAGGGTCAAGTGGAGACACTTATAGCGAATACTAAAAGAAGTAGGCGTACCACAACATCTAATTACGCTTATAACCGAACTATATGAACACACTACTGGATCAGTTAAAGTACTTGACACACTTTCGAACGAATTTCATCCAGAACGGGGTGTCAGACAAGGATGTATACTATCTCCACAATTATTCAACATATATGGGGAGTATATCATGCGAAGAGCACTTGAAGGATGGGAAAAGGGCATCTCAATAAATGGTCATAAACTAAACAACCTACGTTTCGCAGATGACACAGCCCTTCTTGCAAATAGTCAAGCAGAGCTGATAGAACTTATACGACTGATCGAAAACGAAAGTCAAATATTTGGTCTGCAATTAAACATATCAAAGACAAAGATCATGATAGTGGATAGACTACACAACAATCATCCACACATAACCACAATTGACCGGTTCGAGGTTGTGAGCTCATACTTATATCTGGGATCATTAATCACAAACACAGGGTTATTACAAGAAGAGATTAAACGTAGATGTGATCTAGCAAAAGTTGCCACAGCAAAAATGACCAAAATATGGAAGGACTGTCAAATTTCAAGAGCGATAAAGATGAGGTTGATCAACTGCTTAATATTCCCAATACTGACCTACGGATGTGAATCTTGGACTCTCATGAGACAATCGGAGAGAAGAAAGATAGACGCCACTGAAATGTTCTGTTGGAGACGAATGTTACGAATTCCTTGGACCGACCGTTGAACAAATAATTCAATTTTAAGAGAGCTAAAAGTTAGTCAACGACTCTCTAGTAAAGTCCATCTCCAACAATTAAAATATTTTGGGCATGTTATGAGAGCAAACACAGAAAACATGGAAAGACTCATAATACAAGGAAAGGTAGAAGGCCGAAGATCACGAGGAAGATCCCCAACAAAATGGATAGATCAAATTACAGGAATATGCCAAAGACCTATGCATGAATTAAAAGAAATGACTAGAGACAGAGATCACGTCGACCACTACACTCCCCCTGGGGGGTCAGTTTTGAAGAGAGAGAATCTCTTCTGATTGGGTTACGTAAAGAGAATTGTGTATAACATAGTCCCAACAAATAACTTGAAGAAACGGGTGTGGGAGGCTTTTAAGAAGCAGATATATACATTGCAGTTTTAACAATATTGTGAAGGACAATAAATTAATTACTGCTCCCAGGGATCTACTTCAACATTGGAGAAACAACACACAGCAACTATACTCAGAAAACACTAGAAGAACCTCTGAAAGTGAATATAAAAGTGAACCCTCCCACAAAATATTAAAGTCAAAAGTTGTAAGGACAATCAAACAGAGCAAATGGGGAAAAGCACCAGGCCCAGACGACATATACATAGCGGTTCTAATAATGTTGAGTGAAGACAATATAGACGCCTTGGTAGATCTTGTTAATCAAATTTATGGGTCTGGTCAAACACCACAGGATTGGCTTCAATCAATCTTTATACCAATCGCAAAAAAGTCAAACGCTTAGTTACGACTAATTTCGAATGATCAGCTTATTGAGCCAGGTCCTAAAACTCTTCATAAAGATAATTCTCACAAGAATATACAACAAATGTGAAAGAGAAAACAAAAGTCATGCACTCCGAAGACACCGTGACAATAATAAACGATAAAGTTATAGAAAAAGTTGAAGAATATATATATATATATATATATATATATATATATTATATATATATATATATATATATATTTATATATATATATATTATATATATATATATATATATATATATATATATACTTAGGACAAAAATAATGCTAAATGGGAAATTCAAACTGAAGAAATAAAAAGAAGAAGAAAGTTAGCTTGGGCAGCATTCGGTAAACTGAACTATATACTACTACTAAACGATTTTCGATACAGCCTTAAGTGACAGTGAAGATAAAATCAAAATCAACGGACAGACTATTAGTAATCTTTGCTATGCTGATTATACAGTCATAATAGCTGATAGCCAAGAAACGATAGCTTTGATGAGTCATGCTCTAAAACTGTTCTTAAGAATAATCCATAATAGGATCTATAGGAAATTAGACGTAGACATCAGTAACACTCAGATGGGATTCAGAAAAGGGCTGGGTACAAGGGAGGCTCTGTTTGCAATGAACGTTCTCTCACAGAGATGCTTAGACATGAACCAAGAAATTTACGCCTGCTTTATTGATTTCGAAAAGGCCTTTGACAAAGTACAAC